CATGCATAAACACAAGAAGTATCACGATACCTCGCGTAGTACTTACTTATTATAGATAGATAAAAGCGAAATAACCGATAAATATAACTGAATAATGGTTAATACTATTGCCAGTATTGGGAACAATCGGAGCATTTACTAGTAGTAGTATTTAGTGTTTGGTAAACTAGTAGTAGCTACAGCCTATATTATATATTAACAACGAGGAAAGGGATCAAGTGCGTTTTGCTAGCGGAGTTGGTGATTGTATAGGATAATGTTTATTACTGGACATGCTCTCCATCCTTGAGCCGCGGAGTTGGTATGCAGCTTCAGATTTCAATTGTTCCATTCCGGTGTCAACAAACGATTGGATACGATAACGTGCGTAAAAGAACAACGTAAATACGCGCGTTAAGAACTGCACGTGGACGACACACGAATATAGGGTATAGTTGTGTTGTTGGCAAGTGCATTAGAATAGGCTACTTACTCTGCCATCAGATTTCACCATCCGCTTGCCATGGCCAGGGTAAATCTTGTACCCACTGAACGAGCACAGTTCGATCCTAGAAGCAAATAAATAGCATATAATTACTGCAGCTACATTAAAGTTTGCATAAGCAGAACGCCATACGACAGGAACTTACGATGATCGAGATATTTAGAGATTACAAACAATATCAAGAAGCAAACTTACTTCATGGTGGCGAACTGTATGAAAAGGAGGTTAATCGCGCCATCTACTGGCAATGTTCCGTGTTATCTTATCGCGAGATGTCGTAAATAACTTAACATAACACACAAAATAACTTATATCCGAATATGTTCTAAAAATGTAATGTTCGTAGATCTATTGGCACAGTATAAATTAAATTAAATAAAGAAAATTAAAACGTAATTCGAAAAATATGAAGTAGATAGCGTCGCATATGGACTAGGGCTTGTAGAGTGGATAAGTTTCCATCGTCTGGCGCAATAGCCGTGATCGTATAGTGGTTAGTACCTTGCGTTGTGGCCGCAATAACCCAGGTTCGAATCCTGGTCACGGCATCGCTACTCTGTAGCAATGTCACGGCAGAGACGAATGTTTTTATATTTATTATATAGATGAGAATGTTTTCTATTTTGTTATCTGCTTTTTATATTTTACTTTGCCCTTATATATACTCTTTTTACTATTAATATAGTTAAAAATAATATTACTCTTATTTTTTGTTTGTACGGAGCTTATTATATATTTTTATATTTTACTTTGCCCTTATATATACTCTTTTTACTATTAATATAGTTAAAAATAATATTACTTTTTTGTTTGTACGAAGCTTGGAAAAAATGCCATATTCACTAAAACGATTTCATATTTGTGATATTTACAGAACTGTACAACAGAAATATATAAAGAAATGGCTTTAGCAAGGGCTCCCTTTTATTTGTCTGTGTGTCCGTCCATCTTTCTATCTATAATATCTTTATAATATTGCGTCAGTTGAACTGAAGAGAAGGCGGATAAGCAGCTAGTGTGTGTGCGTGCGTGTGTGTGATCATTAAATTAATTATTATTTGATCATTAGATGCAATTAAGTTTTTAAAAATTGAAAAATTCAGAAATTTTTTCAAGACTGGAAATCCGTCTATACAGAGACGGACGGTTAACACCCATGTATTGCTGAGTGGCGAGGTGCAGAGGCAGGGCTGCCAACTCTCACGCATTTTGACCAAATCTCACGTTCTCACGCTGATCTTACAATATCTCACGCACAGCAAAAAAATGCTGAGATATCTCACGCATGAATATCTCTTCATGAATAAAACGCTGAAATAGCTCACGCACAGCAAAAAAATCTTACAATATCTGAAAACAGTCACTTTAGTATGCACCAAATTGCACAAATTGAAGTTATAAAATGCAAAAGCTCCCTACCGTGGGAGGGGGGAAACCCCCTTCCCACACCACCCCCTCGGTCGCTTCGCTCCCTCGCATCTCACTCTCACCTATCACCCAATGTTGGCAGCCCTGCAGAGGGGTGTGGAGTTATAGAAGAGAGGAAGGGGAGGAGGGGAGCAGGAGGAGGAGATGGTATAAAATGAAGTACAGGAGGCAGCACCGGATAATGATGAGGATGAAGAGGAGGAGAAAGAGGAAGTACGAGAAAGAAGAGGAAGAGGGAACGAAGGAGAAGGTATAGGAGTAGGGAGATGAAGAGGTAGATGATGAAGAGGGGGGAGGAGGAGGAGGAAGAAGAACAGCTAGGAAGGCAGGTAAGGAAAAGTCAGGAAGAAAGGGAATTAACAGAGATGCCAACCACTTATTATATTTATCTGTATTTTATACGAATTTCTATTCCTTTTGCACCACTACGACCAGTTTGTATCAAACTACGAATTTCACTGTGGTCGAAATATATATATTATTTTTTTCAATTATTGTCATTTTTTGTCAATTTATTGTCATTTTTGACCCTCAGAATGCAGGAAATTGCATCTCAGAATCAAAATTTTTTCCGGGGGGCATGTCGGACACCCCTAGAAAACTCGGGTCACTACGTGATCCTCAAACTACTAATTTGATGGCCAGAAACTACAGATTGCTTCAAATATGTGTTGGCATCTCTGAATTAACCTATAACCACCACCTCCTATATATCACCCACCACCACCTGCCACCGCCTTCACGTATCATGCATAAAAAACTCGACGCTATACCTCGAAGCAAACTAAGTAACAAAGTAACGACGAGCAAACGCGTGAACCACGGTTTAAAATGTTTTTATTAAAAATCGCGACGGCGTTAGAAATCGATATCGGTGTCACGATTATCGATTACACATGATTATCGACGGTACGCGACAACTGTTGGACGGCACGATTTCGCCGGACGTGAAATGCAAGAGAGATCACGAGACGAGCATCAGGTTCGACGCGGTGACGTCACGGTGCGGAGACGTCACGACGCGGTGACGTCACGACGCAGTGACGTCACGACGCTGTGACGTCACGACGTCTCAACGGGTTAATGTCTCGACACGAAACCGCAAGACGAGCGCGTCTCGCTGCCTCTCCCTCTCCATCCACCGATCAACCCCCACGATTGCATCACGCCGGCTGAACTTTCCCCCGAAATCTCCGCTCTAATCAAATCTAATCGCTTCTAAATTAATCGGCTGCATTAAAATGCTCGGAATCGGTTGGAGCATTACTTCCGAGTAGCATTCCGGAATTCATAATGAATCCTTCGAGTAGCATTCCGGAATCCACAATAAAACCTTTGAGTAGCATTCCGGAATCCACAATAAAACCTTCGAGTAGCATTCCGGAATCCACAATAAAACCTTCGAGTAGCATTCCGGAATTCACAATGGTTCCTTTAAGTATAGCATTCCGGAATCCACAATGAATCCTTCGAGTAGCATTCCCCGGAATTCACATTAATTATATTTAGAGATGAATCAAACATCTTTATCGACTGGCCGACACAAATTCAAATACTCGATAATATTCGAAAATGTTTAAATGTACGCAAATGTTCGCGTTCTTGCACTGTACTATTTCTTGCACTTAAGAGTATTTTAGACAGACGAGAATGCCCCACGAGTCAGTGACGTCATGATGCGTCGTCGTCATGACGTCACGATGCGTCGTCGTCATGACAACACAGAGTCGACGCGGTCGCGAGGACAGATATAGACAGACGGATAAAACTACGAGTAAAATATTGCCAACAACAATAATAATAATAGTAATAGCAAAAATGGCTGCAAAAATCGCGCAGAGTATTAAAGAGATGCAATCCTCACTGTACAAACCTGCTACTAGCAACAGTAGAGCCTACGATGCGAAAAAGACAGCATGTGTGCCGTCTATGATACAAAACAACTCCGATACAAACACCCAATCGTTTACGAAGCGAGAGGAGAGGGAGAGGAAGGGGGGGATCGTCAAAAACCCGCAAGATCGCGCAAGAAAAAACTGCGCGAGATTCGACTCCACGACTACAATTAAAACGGACGCGAACAATCTCGATAAAATTGACTCCGCAGGGCTGCCGGCGTGGCGGCCCGCGCGCATAAAATCGGACGTACGTTTAAAAAAAAGAGAAGAAACTCGCCGCCCCCCCCCCCGCGCAAAAACTGCGACTGCCACGTCCGCCGCGTGATTGCATTTACGCACGTCGGAAAAGACCGTCGACGCGTAAAATTTTTCTAAAGCAAAAGGTCGCGGCGGCGGCGCGGCCTCTGAAAAAAACCCACCCCCACATGGCGATCGGGACGACCGAGCTCTAAATAAACCCCCCCCCCAAAAACCCGCCCACCCACCGACGCACCAAGAGCGAGCGGCGACGGAAACCTCGACGGCGCCCGCTAGCGCCCCCACGTGGCGACGAGCAGCAGCAGCGCGGTGGCGACGACGCTCGCGTGCGCCGCGCCGGCGCCCCCTATGCGGCACGTGAGCTGCTCGAATCGGTTCGGCAGTCCCTTGACTGTCTTCTCGTATTCGACCTCCATGACGTCACCGTCGTAGAAGGTCGTGGGGTCGTAGAACGGATACTCGTAACCCTGCTTGCAGATGCACTTGTAGCCGCCGCGGCCGAAACGCCGGCCCGGCACGAACTCGCACTGATGGAGGAGAGAAAGCGAGGTCAAAGGTTAAAACGTGAGCGAGGTCAAAGGTTAAAACGTGAGCAAAGTGAGGAAGACGTTAGAGGTCGTTATTTACAGTTGTTAGTCGTCGTTGATTAACATTAATAACGGTAGTAGTATTGTTATTATTACTGTTGTTGTTGTTATTATTGTTTTTATTGAATTTAAAGCTAATTGATGGCTGTTAAATAACCACAAACAAGTATTAATAGATAAATAATATTATTGATTATATAATTTATACTACACTCACTCTATAATGGAATAATATTAGTACCGTAGCTTACGTTATGGCGCGAGCGTATGTCATCTCACGAGGTGAAAGTTTTAGTGTTCAGTCAGGGACTCATGTTCAAAATGCCGTTGGTTTACCATAATTACCGAGACAAAGGAAAAAGAGAAGAATAACTGCGACAAAAAAAAACGACGATAAAACGTTTACAAAAACATTATAATCGATTGCTTTCGAGCCCCGTAGGTGGCGCTCACCTGCGTCGTCTGCTGGTCGCAGCGGTCGGTGCCCTTGAACGCGTTGGCCAACGTAGGGAACGTCATCGGAGCCCTACTGTCGAATGTCCAGCAATGTCCAGTTTTACATCTACGATGACCACTCCCCTGTTTGACACGAAGAACGGACGTGCGAACGAGGATTAATCAATTGATTGATTTATTGATTGATCGAGTGTGGAGGTAAGAGATGGACGTGGATTGGAAGCGGAAAGCTTAATTGATAGAAACCAGAATACCAGCCTGCAGTCGCTGCACCTTTATGCCCTCCATAACGTGCCCCCACCACACACAGCCCGTCCATAAGCACCCTATCCCTCCCTCTCACACGCACCTCTCGCCCCATGGGCCCATCGCGTCCGTTCCCCTCCTCCAACACCACTCCTCTGGCCGACCCTCTCCTCTCCACCCTCCATAGCACCCTCCCATCCCTCCACACCACTCTCCCCTCCCTTCCTCCCTCCCTCCCTCCACACCACTCTCCCCTCCCTTCCTCGCTTGCCCGTCCATAGGCACCCTCGGGCCCTGCCCGGTCCGGACACCATCTGTCGGCCCTCCCAGGTTTTCCTGCCTTCCTGCCACACCCACTGAGACTCCCGTCCCTGTACCTCGACTGCATCCAATAGCACCGCTGCCCTCGACCTGCGGCACAAAACCACTGCCTCCCCCTCCCTTCCTCCTGCCATCCATAGCAGCCCTGCCCTCCCTCCACACCCACTCTCCCCTCGCTTCCTCCTGCCCATCCATACCATGCTTACCGGCCATCACCCCCACAACCCACCCACCACCGAACCACGGGCACGCAGGCGGGAGCCAAACACTGACACTTGAACTCCAGACCGGTCCTCAGGAAGCTCCTGTCCGAAGAAAGGCACGCGAGTAGGTGATGACCTACAGTCGTTGACGTAGCCGTCACAGTCAAAGTAGGGATCAGCCACACCCGCATCCTCCGGCATCGCGGCCGCGAAGAACTGGATCCGGGTAAGTGTTCGTCAGGGGTTGAGCGCGAGCGTCCGGTACTCGCCGTGTTCTGAGCGAAGTTGCACCTTAGAGCGTGAACAGGGTCGAGGCCGAGACCCGTCGTGGACAGAGGCCCAAGCCGCGCCTTTCACTGGCGTGCCGAGACAGGACAGAGCCCGGGACGCTGGTGAGGGACGCATGGTTGAACGCTGGGTGAGGCACGGCGAGAGGCGAGACGCCGGGTGAAACGCCGGTGAGCGGGGCCGAAGGCCGTCGTGGATCGAGGCCCAGCGCGGCGCATTCACCCTGCTGAGAACACGAGAGCGAAGACGCATGGTGAGACGCTGGTGAGACGCTGGTAGAGGACTGGCGAGCAGAGCAGAGACGCTTTTGGTGAGACGCTGGTGAGGACGCTGGTGAGACGCGAGCGCGAGACGCCGGTGAGACGGGCCGAGCTGAGAACGGCCGGGTTGAGGACATTGAGCGGCGGGAGGGGGGGGGGGGCCGAGACCGCCGGTGGAGGACGCGAGCGCGAGACGCGCCGGCGGTGAGACCCAGCCTGGCGAGACGCCGGGTGAGACGCTGGTGGAGTACGCCTGGTGAGTACGCGACGCGCGAGATCGCCGGTGGAACGCCGGTGAGCAACGCGAGCGGCGAGACCGTCGGTGAGCATGCGAGCGCGAAGACGCTGGTGAGACGCGAGCGCGGAGACGGCTGGTTGAGACGCGAGCCCGAGTGAGACGGCGGAGCCAGCTGAGACGCGCGGCGAGACGCTGGTCGAGAACGCGCAAGGCGCAGGAGACGCGTGAGACGCCCGGTGAGACGCTGGTGAGACGCGAGCGGGCGAGACGCCGGTGAGCACGCGAGCGCGAGACGCCGAGTGAGCACGCTGGTGAGGAAGCGCCCGTGAGCACCGAGACAGCGAGACAGCTGGTGAGAAGGCTGTGAGACGCGAGGCGCGGGAGACGACCGGGTGAGACGATGAGCGCGCGAGAGCGCCGGTGAGACCTTGGTAGAGCGCGAGCGTGAGAACTGCCGGTGAAGACGCTGATGAGACCGCCGGTGAGACGCCTGGTGAGACGCTCCGGTGAGTACGCGAGCAGCGAGACGGCCGTGAGACGCGAGCGCGAGATCGCTGGTGGAGACGCCGGTGAGACGCGAGCGCCGAGACGCCGGCGAGACGCCTAGACACCGTGAGACGCGAGCGCGCCGCGAGACGCCTGGTGGAGACGCGGTGGAGTACGCTGGTGAGCAACGCGAAGCGGCGAGACGCCGTGTGTAGACGCGAGCCAGCGGCAGCGCCGGGTGAGACTCGGAGCGCGGGCGAGACGGCCCGGTGAAGACGCTGGTGAGACGCTGGTCGAGACGCGAGCGTGAGGACGGCCGGTGAGAACCGCCCGTGAGCACGCGAGCGCGAGACGTCGGTGAGATGGCGAGCGCGAAGACGCTGGTAGACGCGAGCGCCCGAGACGCTGGTGAGAGCGCCGGTGAGACGCGAGCGCGGAGCGACGCCCGGCGAGACGCTGGTGAGCACGCAGACGCGCGAGACGCCGGTCGAGACCCGGTGTAGACGCCTGGAGGACGCGAGCAGGAGACGGCCGGGAGAGAGCGAGCCGGCGAGACGCCGTGAGACGGGCTGGTCGAGAACCCGGCCGGTGAAGACGCGAGGCGCGCGGAGAAACGCTGGTGAGAGGCTGGTGAGACGCGCCGAGCGCGGAGACGCGGCCGTGAGACATGGAGCGCGAGATCGCCGGTGAGGACGCTGGAGAGCGAGCTGTGAGACGCCGGGTGAGACGCTGTGAGACGACGGTGAGACGGCTGGCTGAGACGCCCGGTGGTAGTGGAAGGGACCGCGCAAGCGCCGAGACGCCATGAACGTCGAGCGGCGAGAGCGCTGGTGGAGACGGTCACCGGTGAGGACGCGAGGCGCGAACGGCCGCGAGACGGGTGGTGAGACGCAGGCGCAGAGACGCGGCCGGTGAACGGGACGCGAGCGCGAGAGCCGCCGGCTCGAGGACGCGAGCGTCGAGACGCCGGTGAGAGCGCTGGGTGGAGACGGCGAGCGGCGAGACGCCGGTGAAAACTGCCGAGCGCGAGACCGCCGTGAGACGGCCGGTGAGAGACGCCGTGAGACGGCGAGCGCGGACGAGACGCCGGTGAGACGCGAGCAGCGCGAGGACGCGCCCCCGGTGACGACTGCGAGCGCAGAGACCGCCGGTGAGAGCGCGAGCTGTGAGACGCCGCGGTGAGCAACCGCGGAGCGTCCGACGACGCGGTGAGACGCCGGTGAGACGCGGAGCCGCGAGGACGTCGGTGAGATGCGAGCGGCAGAGAACGCCTGGTGAGACCGAGCGCGAGACGCTGGTGAAGAATCGCGCGGTGAGAGCGCGAAGCGCGAGGACGGCCCGGCCAGGCGAGGACGCTGGGTCGAAGATACGCGAGCTGCGAGACGCCGTGTAGACGCACCGGTGAGGACGCTGGTGAGAACGCGAGCCGCGAGCCACACCACCGGTGAGGGCCACGCGAAGCGGAGACGCCGGTGAGACCGCTGGTGAAGACGGCCGGTGAGACGCGAGCGCGGAGACGCTGGTGAGAGGCTGGTGAGACGCGAGTCGGCGAGACGCCAGGTGAGACATGTACGCAGAGACGGCCGGTTGAGGACGCTGGTGAGGACGCGAGCGTGAGTACGTCCCGGTGAGACGCTGTGTGAGACGCGCGCGTGAGACGCGAGCGCGAAGACGCCGGTGAGACGCGAGCCGCGAGACGCCGGTGAGACGGCGAGCGTGAGAAGCCGGTGAGGCAGCCGGTGAGACATGAGCGCGAGACGCCGGTGAGACGCTGGTGCAAGGACGCGGTGTGAGAGCGCGAGGCGAGAACGCCGGTGAGGACGCGGCGGTGAGGACGCGAAGCGTAGGAGACGCCGGTGTAGGACGAGCGGCCGGTGAGGGACCGAGCGGTTGAGACGACGGGGTAGAATGGGCGAGCGGCGAGAGCGCCGGTGAGACGCCTGGTGAGACGCGCGTGAGACGCGAGCGCCGAGACCACGCCGGGAGACGCGACAGGCGTGAGACGCCGGGTGCAGGAGGACGCAGCGTGGAGACGCCGGTGAGACCGCGAAGCGTGGAGACGGGGTGAGACGCGCGACGGTGAGACCCGGTGATGACGGGCGAGCCCAGGCGGGAGACCCGGTGAGCTGACGCGAGAGCGAGAGCGGCCGGTGAGCATGGCGAGCGCCGAGAACGCCGGTGAGGACGGCGAGACGCTGGGAAGAGGGTGAAGGAAAAAAAGCACGCCGTGGAGAGGGGGACGTGAGTGCGGTCCACATGTTTGCCACAGCATGCTTCTTCGTTTCCAATCGCTATACTAAATAAGGAATAAGAAACTAAAATAAAAATGGAACCCGGACAAAATGGTCAAAAAAAAAGCTTTGGTTTGCGGTATTATTTCGTAGGGTCGGGTCGGAAGGACAGCAAACATATAATGTTCCGTAAGATGGCCTTACGGCCTCTGGAAACGCAGGGTTCCATGCAACGACAGCACACGCGGAACTCCGCCGCTCGCCTCCCTGCCACGCCTAATCTGGAACCAAGGTCCCCGACATGTACACACACACGCTCACCGCGCCTTCAGCTCCTGCAACTACCGCTCTGGAACCAGGGTCACGCTCGCAATGTACAATCACAACCTCCCGCGCCGGTCAGCCTCCCTAGCACCTACCCTCTGGAACGCGAGGGGGTCCTCCATGTACACACACACCCTCGCCGCCTCGCGGTCCGGCGGGTAACGGCACGTCTCCTGCACCCTTACCACTCTGAAGCGCACGGGGGAGTGCCTCCATGGGGTACACAAACACTCTCACGCCCTCGTCCGTCCCGCACCCTACCCGCTCTGTAAACCAGGGGTCCTGCCGCGTGTACACACACACGCTCCCCGCCCTCCCTCCGCGGCCCTACCGCTCTGGGAAGACCAGGTTCCTCCATGTACAGCACACCTCTCGCCGTCCCTCGCCTGCACCCTAAGACCGCTCGGGTGGAACCCGATGGGGTCCTCCATGTAACACAGACCCGTGCGAACCTACCCTCTGGAACCCAAGGGGTCCTGACCATGTACACAAACGCGTGCCGCCGTCAGACCTCCGCTGCATCCTGACCCGCTCTGGAAACCAGGGGTCCTCCGTGGACCACACAGAGATGCTGCCCAGCGGGTATGTCGGGTGCCCCCTGGCAGCGGGGCATGTGGGCCGCTCCCGTGCACCTACGCACCGTCTGGCAAGCGCAGGGGTCCGGCCAATAGTCTACGACAGGCCGCACCTCGCCGGCCCTCGTCCGTCCCTGCACCGAACCACTCTGGAACCAAGGGTCCTCCATGAACACACACACCTCGCGCTCAGCTCCCTGCACTACGCCTCCGTGGAAACCAGGGGTCCTCCATGTACACATGACACTCGAATAGTCCCGTCCCTCCCTCCCTGCGACCTACCCTGCTGGAACCAGGGGATCCTACAACATAAGATACAAAGGTCGTCAGCAGCAACCGTCGGAGGGGCCCTCAGACGCTCGCCAGAGAATGCGGAGAGATGGAATCCAGGGGGTCCCTGCGGGCATGGTGCAAACACACACGCTCACACGGCGCTCGCCGTCCCTGCACCTAGCCCGTCTGGAACCAGGGTCCTCCAAATGGAACAAGCGACACAACGCACTGCCGGCCGCGTCGTGACGACTGTCGAACTGCACGCTAACCCCTCTGGGAACCAGGGGGTCACGTCCATGTGTACCCAGAACCTCGGCCGGGCGCCTCCGCCGTCACGTGCACCTACTCTGGGAATGCCAGGGGTCCTCCATGTACACACACATCGCCGTTTCCCGCCCTCCTCCGTCGTGCACCTAGCCCTACCTGTATAAACCAAGGGGTCCTCCAATCGCTACACCAAGCAGCACCTCTCCGCCCGGTCCGATCCCTGCACCTACCCTCTGGAAGCGCAGGGGTGCCTCCGACATGTACAACACATCGTCGCCCTCGAAGCCTCGAACGCACGCTAGAGGGGAGCCCTGCGTGGGATACGGCAGGTGGGTCTCACATGATACAGCAGACCACCGAGGTTGCAAACCCGTAACGCTCCGTGGACAGCCGGAGGGGGTCCTCACATGTACAACATGCACCGGTCCCCGCCCCTCCCTGCACCGTAGAGCAGAAGCCACCAGACTCTGAACGCAGGGGGTACCTCCGGTGTACAAGGAGATCCACACCGGACTTAGGGCGGGGAGGACGGGGTGGGAGGCGGGGGAGTATAAGGCTGGGGTCGTAGTGCATGAGGCGGGGATCGGAGAGATCGCCTGCGCGCCTCTCCTCCCTGCACCTACCCTCTGGAAGCCAGGGGTCCTCCAGTGTGGCACAACTGATCCCGCTGACGACCTCACGACCCTCACCTCCCTGAAGCCTACCTCTGGAACCAGGGGTTTCCTCCAGTGGTAGCGTTCGTTGTGTCCTGTACGAAAAATCGGACGACCAGGTAGGTGCGCGCCACGTCCGTGCGCATCGCGTACGGTCCGAAGAACCGTGCGTCCGGCGGTGACGGTCGTCGTACGGCGTTCCGGCCGGAACTTGTTTGACGTCGTGAGAAGACCGCCGGCTGCCTCCCGGCGAGGAGGCTGCGGTCGGTCACTACGTGAGCCGATCGGGCGGAGCGTTTGGCAGATGCGCCGGTCGCAGACCGGTCGGATGGACTGGTATCACACTCCCCCAGCTCGGGAGCGTCCTTATGTCGGTGAGGGAGGCGGTCGGTCGGGCGGGGAGAGGGTCGGTCCCGAGGAACGACCCTCAGACACCACAGTAGAGAGGAGACGAGAGAGGCGGGGAAGGTAGCGCAGAAAGAGAGAGAGGGGCGGAGGTTGCGAAGAAGAGGAGAGAGGGGGAGTTAGAGGAGAGACAAGGAGGAGGGAAGATGGCGGTGTAGCAGGGACGGGAAATAGAGGAGGCCGGAGGAAGGGTTAGGCGCAAAGAAGAGAGAGAGGATGGGGAGGTTGAGAGAGAGAGAGCGAGCACGTGACGCGGAGAGTGAGAGGAAATATAGGGAAGAGAAGGAGGGACAGGGAGGAGGTGGGAAGTTATACTAAGTAAAGAGGAGGAGGAGACAAGTGTGGAGTTCAGTAGAGAAGAGAAGGAGCAGGAGGAGGTGGAGGTGGGGAGTGAGATAGAGAGAGAAGAACAGGGAGGAGGTGGGAGGTTAGTAGGAAAGAGACGAGAGGGAGGAAGTGGGAGGTTATAGAGAGAGGAGAGAAGAGGGGGAGGTTGAGCGGAAGACACGGAGAGTAGGAGGAGGTAGACACTATGAGGAAGGAAAGAGGAGCGAGAAGGTGAGGGAGGGTTGCGGGAGGATCACAGACACGCGAGAGAGGATGGGGCAGTAGTCAGAGAGTGGTGCGAGAGTTGATAAGAAGAAAGAAGGATAAGTGGGAAGGCTGAAGAGGAGCGTGGCAGGGCCAGGGTGAGGTCAGTGAGGACAAGGAGAGAGAGAGGGACGAGCGACTGAGGGGGAGGAGATCGGTGGTAAGGGGCTTAACTAGTAGGAACGATAAGCGTGTAGGCAAGGCAAGAGAGAAGAGGACGGACCGGTGGGGTACGAAGCGAGCGGTTGAGATAGACAGGGAGAGAGTAGAGGGGAGGAAGTGGGAGTTTATATACGAGAGAGTCAAGTAGGGAGATGTGAGGTGGGTAGGTTATGAGAGAAATGAGAGAGAGGAGGGAGGTGAGAGGGTTATATGGAAGAGAGAGAAGGGAGGAACGGAGGATGGTGGAGGGGTGGGGAGGTTAGAGAGAGAGAGAGGGAGGAGGTGGGAGGTTATAGAAGAGTAGAGGGGGAGGGAAGTGTGAGTGGATATAAGAGAGGAGAGGGAGGAGGTGGGAGGTTATAGAAGAGAGAGAAGGGAGGAGGTGGGAGGTTATAGAAGAGAGAGAAGCGAGGAGGTGGGAGGTTATAGAAGAGAGAGAGGGGAGGAAGTGGGAGGTTATAGAGAGAGAGAGGGAGGAGGTGGGAGGTTATAGAAGAGAGAGAAGGGAGGGAGGAGTGGGAAGGTTATAGAAGAGAGAGAAGGGAGGAGGTGGGAGGTTATAGAAGAGAGGAGAGGGAGGAGGTGGAGTTATAGAAGAGAGAGAGGGAGGAAGTGGGAGGTCTATAGAGAGAGAGAGGGAAGAGGCGTGGGAGGTTATGACGAAGAGAGAGAAGGGAGGACGGTGGGAGGTTATAGAAGACGAGAGAGTAGGGGCAGGAAGTGGGAGGTTACATAGAGAGAGAGAGAGAGCGCGGGAGGTTAGCGAAGACAGAGAGAGGGAGGAGGTAGGAGGTTATAGAAGAAAGAGAGAGAGAGATGGGGGGAGGTTAGAGAAGAGAGAGAGGGGGGAGGTTAGAGAAGAGAGAGAGGGGGGGGAGGTGTGGGGTTTTATAGGAGAAAGAGAGAGAGAGGGGGGAGGTTTTAGAAGAGAGAGAGAGGGGGAGGAGGTGGGAGGTTATAGAAGAAAGAGAGAGAGAGAGGGGGGAGATAGAGAAGAGAGAGAGGGAGAGGAGGTGGGAGGTTAGATAAGAGAAAGAGAGGGGGAGGAGGTTAGTGAAGAGAGAGAGAGAGGGGGGAGGTTAGAGAAAAGAGAGGGGGAGGAGGTGGGAGGTTATAGAAGAAAGAGAGAGAGAGGGGGAGGTTAGAGAAGAGAGAGAGGGGGAGGAGGTGGGAGGTTAGAGAAGAAAGAGAGAGGGGGAGGAGGTTAGAGAAGAGAGAGCGAGGGGGTTAGAGAAGAAAGAGAGAGGGAGAGGGGGTAGGTTAGAGAAGAGAGAGAGAGAGGGGAGGTTAGAGAAGAGAGAGGGGGAGGAGGTGGAAGGTTAGAGAAGAGAGAGGGGGAGGAGGTGGGAGGTTATAGAAGAGAGAGGGGAGGTAGTTACTAGAGGAGAAAGGGAGGAGGTTAGAAAAGAGAGAGAGAGAGAGAGAGAGAGAGAGAGAGAGAGAGAGAGAGAGAAAGAGAGAGAGAGAGAGAGAGAGAGAGAGAGAGGGGGGGAGGAGATTAGAGAAGAGATATAGGGGGGAGGCTAGAAAAGAAAAAAGAGGGGGAGGTTACGAAAGAAAGCGAGGTTTATTAAAAGAACAAGACTGGGTGCGAATTCTCCCGGCCGCCTAGACGGTCCCCACCTCCTCCGGATTGATCGTCTGCAGGAAGTCGCTGAGGAAGTTCGCCAGTCTAACGGCCGTGTACATCTGCATCGCGTAGAACTTCTCGACTCCGTATATGACGTCGCTCGGCATCCTCAGGTCCTCCGGACGCAGTTGCCTAGCAACGGACGGCAGACGTTAGCAACGAATGGCGGGCGTTGCCGGGAGCGCGACGAACAGCAAGCGTTCAGCGGCAGAGCGAGCGTTGATTTGCAAATTTGGCCGACAGATGAACAACATTTGAACAACATTTTATCCAAGGGTAATCCACAGGCAATCAATAGGCAATTAACAATTGATTGACAGGTGATTAACGAATGATCCGCTGACGATCAACAAGTGATCGACAGCCAATCAACAGGCAATCAACAGGCAATCAACAGATGATCAACAGATGAACAACACACAGATGATGAATAATGCACAGGTAATGAATAAGCAATTAAGAATTTATTGACAGGTGATCAACATGCAATCGACAGGTGATCGACAGGCGATCAACAGGTGATCGACAGGTGATCAACAGGTGATCGACAGGTGATCATCACGTGATCAACAGGTGTGCGTACCAGCAGTTATCCTTCGTGACGTTCTTCAGCTGAAACAGCGCCTGCCTCAGCCGATTGTTCGGCTGGAAAGATGCCCTCTTCCTCCGCGCGTGCACCTCCTCCCCCTCCACCTCCTCCACCTCCGGCGCCTCCCTCTTCTCCACGCGCGCGCCCGTCCACGGCTCCGCAAGCTCCTCCCTCGCCTCGCGCTTCTCGAGCCGCGGGCCCGCAGCGGCGGCGGCGGCGCCCTCTACGGCTGCGGCGGCGCCCTCTACGGGGGCGTCGCGGCGCCGTCGCCGACCCTGGTAGGGGTTGTCGGTCGGATATTCGGTAGTCGGGTAGTCGGTCGTTGCCGCGGCGCCCAGCTCCTCATCGAACGGGTTCACCGGCTGCTGGTTGAGGAAGCTGGTGACGACCTTGATCTCTGGCGGGGAAGGGCGTTCAAGGTCAGAGGTTGGGGGGGTCAGTTTTTTATGAAATACGTGCTAAAGTCGATCGCGTGCCAATTTCTGACCTCGACCCTAATTTATATAATCTATACACTATTACTACTACTATACTATACTATACAACATATAA